ACATCAATAATCAATCGATTCATGCCACTACCACTAACAACCAGAAATGATCATTTTAAAATAAAATAAAAAATAAAAAATAATGACAAAAAAAAAAAAATCCATTATCTGCAAAAGAATGATTATCCTTGGTGTGCCTCTGTGATATGTACATTGTAAGAACAACAACAAAAAACAATACAACAACAACAACAACAACAACAACAAAAATTCAATGTCAATGCCATCATAATGATAATGATGATTATTATAAATAAATAAATAATTTTTTTTTCTGATCACAGGAGATGCTTCACTGGTCATGGAGGTAATGCTGGTGTTGCTCGAATTATGTAAATGATAAAACTGGCTGAAAATTCTATTGTTTTTCAATGTTGTTGCAATGAGCCATTTTTACATACACACACAGACAGACATTATTTTTATTGATTACTATTGCCATAATGAATTATCAATCATAATTATAATCATCATCATCATCATCATCATCATTATTATTGGATTGATTCAATCCATCTTTTAGTCCATTGATTGATTGATTGATTGATTGATTGAATAATTTAATGAATGAATAAAGATGTATATATATATTCAATAATGATGATGAGTTTCAAATATTGATTTTGATTTTGGATTTTCATTTTCTTCATGTTCAAATGAACGGTACAAAAGAATTGAATTTGAATTTTTTTTTTTTTGAAGTAGAAAAAAAAACAATTTTCATATTCATAGAATTATTAATTATTTAATTTCAAACGAAAAAAAAAAAAATTCAAATAAATTACCACGTGTTCATTTTTTTTTCATACGTACACACACGTATATGCTCAACTGTTCATTTTTTTCGGACACGAAAAAAATGTCATGTTCTTTTTTTTTATGGAAAAAATTTTTCAAATAATCGATTTTCGAGATGGATGAAAAACATAAAATGACATTAAATTCAATGGGAGAAAAAAAATTGGCTGTGTGTGTAATTAAACACACGCAATACATTAATTAAAGATAATTAATCCAATGATGATGTGATGTGATTTGAAAATGAAAATACGTGGCAATAAAAAAAAATCCCATGATAACAATGATGATGATGATGATGGTCGATGAGGTTTGACAATTTCCACTTTCATCTTTTCCATTCAATTCATATTGGAATTGAATTGAATTGAATTGAATGGCTGAAAAAGATGAAAGTGAAAATTGTCATCAAATTTCAATTTTTTTCATCATGTTTGTGCGAAATTTAAAAATTAAAACAAATGAAAAATTTAGATTTGAAAATTATTTCTTTTTCCTTCCTCTCCCCCTCCCCGACCAATCACCACATGGTCAGAAAAAAAAACAATTGGCCAATTCGGTAGCTGAATGAATGAATGAAAAAAAACGCAAATTAAATTAAAATTTGAATCAAGGTTGAAACACAACAACAACAACGACGAAAAAAACAATTCACACATTTTTTGTAATGAGTCTGAAAACGAACAGAAAAAACAAAAAAACAAAATTTATCAATCATTCGAATTGGTCCTAAATCTCAATAAATCTCTATTTTGTACAAACTCATGTACACACACACACCAGTAGGGGTAGAACTGGTGCCGAATCTATTTTCATTTATAACCACCTATCGAGAATGTGATAATTAATTCCAATATAATACAAAACATGAATTCTTCAATATTCAAAATCTTTTGTTTGTTTGTTTATTTCAATCAATATTGCATCGATACATGGAAATATCATCGACGATAACAACAACAACAACAACAGCAGCAGCAAAAAAACAATGAAAAAAACAATGAAAAATTATTTTCTTCGTTTTGTAAGGAATTTTTATTTCATTTCATTTCATTTTTTTTGTCATTTTTTTTCACACAATTAAAATTTGCATATTTTTCATTATCATTATCATTGTTGATCCACCAAGTGATGATTGATTGATGGTGATGATGAGGATTTTTTTTTTTTTTGTTTGTCTGATTTTTATTATTATTATTATCGTTTCGAACAAACAAACCAAATGGGCAATTTTGGAAATTTCAAAAAAAAAAAAAAAATGATGGCCAGCCTTTTTCCCCTTTTTCTCACTGTTCATTTATTATATGACGTACCATCATCGATTTTGTGTGTTTGATTATCTATTTGCAACAAAACAAAACAAAAAAAATTCCATACGTGTCATGTGTCACCACCAAGAACAAACTAGAAATTGACATGATAAAAAAAAAGAAGAAAAAACCCAAATCAAAATAAAAATATCAAAACCCAACTATAATCTTCATATTGATCGATTATGATGGATGATGATGATGATGATTCCAGGATGATGATGATGATGGTGATATTCTCACTTTGCATACATGCACACACACACACACACACATACACTTGAAAGATAATATTAACTTGACCTTCGAAAAATTTTCCAAAATGAACATTTTTTTTGTTTTTGTTGTTGTTGTTGTCATTATCATTGTTGTTGTTGTTCAATTTCATTTATTGTTTTTTTTTCATTTTTCTGAATTTATGAATTTTTTTTTTATTCATTGCTCTTTATGACCACACAAAGCCAAAAATGAATGCCGTTGAATGTTGCAACCATCATTGGATGATGACGATGATGACCGCTCAAGAATGAGCAACGGCAGCAATTGTTTGTTTGTTTGTTTATTTATTTGTTTTTCTGAAAAGATAAAATTTTTTTTATTCATAAGGAATTTCATTCTGGCAAATGTGTGTGTGTGTGTGCGTGAGTGTGGAAATGAAAAAAAAACAATCGATGATTTCAGATTATTCTTGCTTTGCTGTGTGTTTATTGTCATATTTTTTTTCTACTTTTTTGATTTATGACTTTTTTTTCATTTATCAATCACATTCAATTCATTTGTATGAAATGATTGAGGAAGGAAGGGGGAATAACAAGGTCGAATGATACCCAAATGAATGAAAGAGAGAGGTTTTATTTATTCACTTTTTTTCCAATGAAAAAAAATTCCAATTTTAAATAAATTTAATTTTTTTTCCTCTAAATGAATACTGATGATCGTGTGATGATGGTTCATTCATTCGTCAGCAATACCCCCCTCTCTATATCACTATCACTTTCCACAAACACACATTTTTTTTGTCGTTGATCGATTGATTTGAAATCATTTGATCAACAACAAAAAAAAAAAAACATACAGAGTAAAATGATCAGTAATCAACAGGATAGAGATGTATGAATAACGAAAAAAAAACGACAAATTTATGTTATGAAGATGAATAAATATAAGCAATCTGAGCAACAACACAACAACAACAACAACTAAAAAAATCGAAGAAACCTTGAAGACTAAATTGAAAAAAAAATCGAAAAAATATTCATCTTCAGATTGAATGAATTTTTTTTGGACTAAAGAATTAACGTTGTGAAGCAAAAAGAAAAGAGGCATATCGATTGCTAGTTTGGGAATAAAGTTAGCTGTCAATTTTTCTAAATATATACATATAAAAAAAAGAACTAATGAATTTTCATTTTTATGAATGCTAGAACCGAAAAAAAAAAAAAAATCAAAAAAACAACTCAAGAAAAAACAACAACAACAACAACAACATTAACATTGAAAATATTCAAACCAAACAAAATATTCAGCAAATGATGATGATGATCATCATCATCATCTTGATTGCGTCAAGGAATAATAAAGATAATTGATGATGGGATTGAATATTTTTTTTTGGTTCATTTTCATTTTCATTTTTTGAATTGAAATTCATGTTGATTAAACATATGCATGAGTTGTTTTTTTTTGTGAAATCAAAATTTTGGTACATTATCATCATCAGATCAGATCACTACGAGAAAAAGGTTGAAAGTTAAAAGTTGTATGGTGTTTTTTTTTTTTGTCACCTAAACTTGTCAAAAGAACAAAAAAAAATCACCGTCATTCACGTGAAAAATTGTACCATCTGTTGAGAGAAAAAAAATTAAAAAAAAAAAAAAAAATTCTCATCATCAATAACAGATGGCGTGAGAATTTTTTTTTTTTTAATTTCAATAACGAATATGTTTCTTATTACAACGATAAAAAAAAATTGATAATCAATCATTGTCAATAATGATCATCATCATTCATTCATTTTGGTTATTAATAATGTTAAATTTAGATTTTTTTTTTCTTTCAAAGCAATCACACACAAACACAGACACACTTTGTACCTGTTGATATATCAACATATATGTTGTGGTTATTTTTACCTTGGATCAGAGGAGAGGGAAACAAAACGAAAAAAAATAAAATACTAAAAATCGATTGACAAGAAAAAAAATCTATATATTTTGGCTGTTTGTCTGTTTACATATTCAACAAATGTCATCTCGATAAGTGGGTAAAAAATGGATTTTTGTTTTCTCAAACCCACAAAAAAATCAATTTTTCATGTCAAGTTTTTTTTTGGTTCTAACACACACACACACACACAAATATTTACTAGAGCATAAAAACAAAGAAGAGAAAGATTTTTTAAATTCATAGGGAAAAAAATGTAATGAATAATAAAGAGAAAAGATCAAAAACTTGTCACGAAAAAAAAAAAATTTTCATCCGGTCATAAACACACGACGAAGAAATGAAAATAAAGATAACACACACATGCACACATTAACTAATTATGGCTATCGTTTGTTGTTCTTTTTTTTTTTCGCCGATAACCGACTGATTATTATTTCCGAGAAAAAAAATGTTATGGTGAGAAAATAAAAGAAACCAAAAGAGCAAACAACAAAAGATGATGGGAGAAAAATCATCATCATCATTTTCAAAACGTTTTTTGGTCATCATTTTCATTTTGAATTTGGACACTGGCCATTAAAGTTGATGCACGTGCATGAATCATTAATTTTTTTTTTTTTTTCCTTTTGTTTTTCATTCAACAAACATTTTTAGAATTGAATCAACATCGAGACAGTAACAAACAACAACAATGTCGTCGTCATCATTATCATCACGTTCCAGACGATTATTATGGACCATATTAATCATATCAATAATTTTGAATGTTTTATTCGAAGATCAATTGGTTGCAATGGCCGGACATCGATTGGTACGAAAATTGATTGGTAAAAAAAGTACACCATATCTATTGATGTTGATGAAATTGAAAAAACGAAAGAAATATATGCCCATACCGATCCCGTTGCCGATACCGGTGCCATTATTGCCGATTGCATTGGCAAAATTAGCCAAAGAATTGGACAAAGAATCTGAATATTATTTCGTCAAAGATGGTGATATTCCACCACGAAAAGTGGTACGAAAATATGTTGAACATCATGATGGTAATAGCGAAGTTTTATGGGATAATCATCGATAAATTTTTTGATGAAATTGTTTTTCTTTTTTTATTCAATTAATCAATCAATTTTTTGTTGTTGTTGTTGTTGTTGCCACACTCAATCAATATTATACCAAATATTTTGTAACCAAAAAATGCCAAAAAAAAAAAAAAAAAATTCAAATCTTTTGTCTACGCACATTTTTTTGTCCACAATCTAGTCTAAAATACCTTTGCCAACCAAAGAAAAAAACTCCCCCGATTCAAAACAAATTCTTTTCGTTAATTTTTAAAATAAAATTTAAAAAAACTTTTGAGAAAATTTCCGCATTACAAAATTGTTTATTTTTCGCTATTAAAAATTTATCATCACACACCATCTAAAATTTGTTAAGAAAAAACAATTTTTTTTGTTCCACAGAAAAAAAAATCATCTTCATCACTGGACCAGACTATATTTGGATATTTATTTTTGGGAAACTAATCAACAGTAAACAAAAAAAAACGAAACTAAATTAGTGTCATTTCCTTATTATTGATGAATCAACTGAAATCATCATCCAATAATCTGTACGCACACACAAACATCAAATTAATCGAATCTGAAAATAAAAATAATGCTAAACGATGATGATGATGATAAAGTTAGTTAAAAACTGGAAAAAAAGGTGGTCAACAAGTGAAAGTAAAAATTGAAACTATTATTATCCGGAAACGTGTGTGTGTTCGGTATCCGCATTTGTGTGAATTTTGTAAATTTTTCACATCGTTTAGAAATATTGTGTCGATTTTGTACAATCATCAATTGTCAAACAGGTGATGATGATGGAAATTCTTGAATTTCCAAATTTTAATTAAATTATATATGTTGCTATTTGTTGTTGTTGTTGTTGTTGTTGTTGTTGTTTACAGATGATCAATGTTTGATGGAAACAGAAAAATAATCTTGACATATAATAGATATTGAATTACAACGATTAATATATCAATGAAAAAAAATCATCAAAAATGGCGCGTCAATTTGATAAATTCGGCTTCATTCAATAATGAAAATGTTTGATTTCATACAAAACAAAACAAAAAAATGAAGGGAGAAAATTTTTTTATTTGTAAATTTGCATTTCCCTTTTTCATACCAGGCTCATTTGGATGATATTCGAATCAATGATCTGAAATTTATGCAAAATTCAATCCAAACCAATCAACACCAGTAATCCTTGCCCCCTTCATTAAATGATATCGATAAATCATCAATAATCAACAATGATCAACAAGTGTTCAACATGTGGCAGCAGCAGCAGTTGTAGTAGTAGTAGTAGTAGTAATGGCAATGATCATTATTTATTGATTAATCTGTTTTTTTTGTATGATAAAAAATTAATTGTCCAATCAAAATAATTGAATTGAATTTAATCAATTAATCAATCAATGAGGAGGTGGTGGGTGGGGGAAAAGAAATCCTAAGAAAATTTTTACCATTACCACCACCACCACCACTACAATAATAATAATGTGTACAAATCAAATAGCCAAATCAAATTGATACCATTGATACCAGCAAATTTATCACATCAATAGACATGCAGCCATTTTAGAGAATCGATTTTCATTATTATTTTTACATAAGTCAAGCTAGTGTAATCATCATTTCGGCCATGATGATGATGTCGACTCAATGTTGTTGATTATCAAAAAAAAATGAACAAAATGACGATATGTTTGTTTGTTTTTTTCGTTGAAGGCAAACAAAATCTTTAGACTTTTTTAATTGATTAAAATCTTGACAAAATTTCTTTTTTTCTCTTCAAAATTATTCTGCATGTTACAACAACAATGGCATCCAATCGAAATTCATTCAATCGTTCATCATTGAACATTACATCATCATCAGTTTCACAACAACAGCAGCAGCTGCAACAACAACAATCATATAATACAGTACATCCGGTATCATCACCACCTCCACCACCGGTATATCAACCACCACAACCAAGTTGGTGGAATACCGGTCTAGCTGGAATTGGTGGTGGCCGTCGTAATTCATATGTGAATGAAGATGTTGAAGATCCATACCAACAACAACAACAACAACAACAATCAGTACCAAGTATTCAAATTGATCAATCGAATGGTTATATAAATCCATCATCACCAACACATTCTGGTTCTTCACCAACAAATCAATCATATCATCGTCCACGTGCAAATTCATCAATAACAGCTGCACGTAATAAATTACGTATTATGGCAATGTTAGATGATGTACGAAAAAAACGTGAACTTCGTGATCGTCGTAAATCGGATATAATGGCCTATCTTGATGATCTGATCGTACCGGATGATCCAGCAATGGCTAATGCTGCAGCTGGTGCATTGAAACTTTATCGTAGAAGATTTTCAATATATCAATTTTTAAATCATCCATCAACAAGTACACCATGGTCAATTACGTATCATGTGATGGTTTTTGTTATTGTATTTGTCTGTTTAATATTGACAATTTGTGCAACAATTCAACAGGCACCATTACAGGAAAAAGCAATAAAATCTGTTTATATGCTTGAAAAGGTTGTTGTTGTTTGGTTTAATATTGAATTCGGTTTAGGTCTTTGGTCTTGTGCTTGTAAAAAACGTTATCGTGGTCTAATGGGTAAAGTTCGTTATCTAACAATACCATCCAGATTGATTGATTTTGTCATATTAAGTTTTACAACCATTGTATTGATTGTTAATCCAAGTAAAACTGGCCATGAAGTTTTTGTTGTATCAGCATTTCGTGGTTTTCATCGTTTTTTTCAAGTAGCACAAGTATTGACATTAAATCGTCCATTAAAACCATGGAAAGTGTTAGCATCGGTTATTTATGATCAACGTGAACAATTGTTTATTATTTATTATACTGAATTTATTGTTCTTTGTGTATTGGCTTATGTTGCATTTTTAGTTGAAAGAGATACAAATGATAATTTCAATAGTATTGCCGATGCTATGTGGTGGGCGGTTAGTATTTTGATTCTTATTTTGATTTTGATTCAGATTTTTTTTCTCAATGCTTCTTCTTCTTCTTCTTCTTCTTTTTTTTCAAAAAGATCGTTACACTTTCAACAGTAGGATATGGTGATCGTGTGCCGGTAAGTGAGATTTTTTTTTGAATCAAATTTCATCAAGCTAGATAAAGACGAAACAAAGAAATGTCATTGTATTCTAGCAAAGTGAAAAGCAACAATTTGATAACAAACAAAAACAAACTAGAAAACAGACAAAAAAAAATTCGCATCCAAAACTAGCTGCAACCAGTTTTTATTGATGATTGAAAATTCAACTTGATTCGATTTTTTTTTCGATTCGTTCCACACAGGTTACATGGATTGGTAAAATCATTTCAACAATGTTCACAATATTAGGTGTAGCGATATTTGCATTGCCTGCCGGTATTATTGGCACTGGTTTAGCATTGAAAATTGAAGAAGTTGAACGGAATAACATACGTAATAGGAAAAAAGTTGCCGCAGCCATTCTTATACAGCGTGCATATCGTTCATGGAAAGCACATCGTACATATGAATTGGTATCGAATTTTTTTCGTGAACGTCCAATGCAAATATATAAACAACATGATTATCTATCGATGGCACAAAAATTCATTGCACTAGTACAATTTTTGGCCGCATTGAATAAATTTCGTGAATTATTGCGACCAGTTGATTGGAAAACCGTCATGCAAAGCTATAGTGATGGTCAAACAGAAGTTTTATTACGTACAAAATTAGTACAACAATCAATTGAAGAATTATCACGTCGTGTTGAAATGACTGAAAATCGTGTGGCAAATATGTCAATGAAAATTGAAACCAAACAAAATACATTTGAAAGACGTATTGATCATATCAGACAATTGATGGAAAGTTGTCATAGACAATTATTAGCCAATCATTTATTGGTAGAATTATTACGTACAAATAATCAACGTTATCATGTTAGTTCAACAATGACCACTGGTAGAAAACATACATCATCTACGGCATTATCAAATCGTGTCATTGGTGGTGGTCAACAACAACAACAACAACAACAAACACCATTACAATCAACATTGAATTCGAAACAATCAATAATATTGAATCAACAAGCAGCAGCAACGGCAACAACAACAACAACAACAGTACAGTACAGAATCGTTCGAAAACAACAACGGCGACAACAACAGCATCAAAATCACTTCAAAAAAATTCAATAACTCAAACATCTATAATCGATAATATTTCGAATGAATCAAAGCAACCACCACCAACACCATCACTATTGAATCCGAATAAATCATCAAATAGTAATTTACCAAAATCAACAATAACTAGACCGAATCAATTGAATTTGGAAAAATTAAAAAATCTTTATCCAATTGCATCATCCGGTAGTAATACAAGCATTGATGATGATGATAACACTGATAATGATGATGATGATGATGATGATTTTTTTAAAACTACCACCACTACGACAACAACAACAACAACAACAGGTCAAACAGCTAATCAATCAAATAATCAAGGAATTAATCGAACATCGATGATCAACACTACAAATAATATCGGCACACCAGCACCAGCAACACCAGTAATATCATCATCAGCTGGACCAATTATTTCCGTTCCATCACCATTATTTTCATCACAACAACAACAACAACAACAACAGAATCGTCAATTAAATAATCATCAAATAATGTCACCATTATTGAATAATTATCATAATAATCAACAGCAACCAAATTTACAAATAAATCATCATCATCATCATGGTCAATATAGGCCAAGAAGAATGTCATTATAGCGAATCATCATCATTATCATCATCACATTAATCTGTGGAATTTTTCTCAAAAATCGTATATCGACATCACCACGGTTTTTTGGTGCATTATTCTTAACCTTGATGTAATCGTCGCCATCATCATCATCATCATCATCATCATTAATTTAGGCGCCAGACGGAAATTGATTCTTCTTTTTTTTTGATTTTTTCCGACATTAATTTATTGTGTGTGTGTGTACGTATGTTGTGATCAAATCAAATCGATAATTGATTGCAATTATTTGTTGTTCAAAAATATTAAAATTATCATTAAATTAATTAATGATTGAATGGTTATTGCACTAAAATGAAAAATATTTTGTTATCATATTGCTGCAGTGATTTCGAAATAAAATCTGAAGTAGTTGATAGTTGATTACAATCGAATGACTGAGTGTTAAGTGTTGTCACTATCGATATTAACAATCGATAATAGACATTGACCTTTTTTTTGATGACAGCAAACAAAACAATTTTTTTGATAATTTATTGAAATTTTTTTTTCTCATTTTGATGACAGAATTATTCAAGTTAACAATTTAATAATAATTCTTTTAAAAATCTATTCTGTTCACTTAGTTTTTGTTCCATTTGTTCAAGATTTATTTCAAGAATTTCCAATGTTGATAAATTATTATTATTATTATTATTCGAGGTTTGTTCACTGGTGGTTGATCGATGATGGCCAACCATTTGTTCTAATTGTTGATGAATTTTTTGTAATATTTCCAATGTATCATTATTTTTAGTCTTATATGATTTCATTGCTGGACGTGGATCCGTATCTGGTATTACGACTGAACGAAATTTTCGTCGTGCACGATTCAACAATAATAATTGTATGAATTGTGTAGCGAAAAATTGTTTACGATTCTCAAGTACATGATCAATTTTTTCCCATAATGTTCGATGTGTTCGTACTGGTATCGAATTTTCTTGTCCAGTTCGACGCATATGTTCTAACCATACGACCATTTCAAATTGTCGTTGTCGATGTGCAAAACGCCATGCCCGTTGTATCAAAGTTGATGCTAACATTTTACGGATTTTACGTTTACGACTCTCTTCTTGTTCTGTTACTTTTAATGCAACAGATGTTGCAATCAAACCACTTGGTATGGCAAACAATGCTAAAGCGATCCAAATTCCAATGCCCATTAATGCTTGGCCAGCATAAGTGATTGGAGAAAAATCACCAAAACCAACGGTCAATAATGTAATTGATGTTGCATATAATGAATCCATAAGATTACCAATTTTTGTATCCTTTTTATTATGATCATGATCAGGATTTGTTTCGGCTAAAAATATTCCATATGCCACCAGAAATATTATCAATAAAACCAGATAAAACATGGCGAATAATAAATGTCCACCATCATGAAAAACTTCCAACAGAATACGCCATGGACTATCACGTTTTTGTACACTAGTCCATTGTATTACATTGAATAGACGATGTAAACCACGTAACATGATTAATGCATAAAGATCTTGTGTAAAATCAATGGGTAATTGTGGCCATACAAAACAACTTGTGGATAGTATGCCACCAATAACCAATAATATATCGAAAAGATGTGATATACGGCCAAAAAAATATTTAAAATCCATTGTGTTACATTAAGATTTTTATATGGAACTTTTGCACGTGATGACCAAAATCGTAATGAAAATTCCATAATGAATTGTATGAAAATTATTAATTCAAAATATGATTTAAGACGATGATCTTTTTCATAACGAAAACATTTTTCTTCCCACGTTGTTCTCGACGTGAACATTATCAGACCAAGATAATATAATAAAATGATTGCAATGACAAAATGATAATAATATGACCAAATATTAGTTGGATAATTGAGAAAATTGTACACACAAATTCTTGCCCTATAGCTCCATGGTTTTTGTTTGATTTCTTCTTTATTTTTGGCCGTTTCAATTGCTTTCAATTCAATTTTTGTTCGTGCATCCAATTGTTCGGGTAATTGTACTAATGAATGTAATCTTTTTGTAATTGGTTTCTGTAATGTTGTTGGTGGTGATAATGTTTGCATACTACTTGATTCAATCGATTCTGTATTCAAGCTAGATTTTTGATCCAATTTACCTAAAAAAATTTTGAAAATTATTTATTTTTCAAAAAAAAAAAAAAATTTTCCACTTACCACCGATACTGATACTACTATTTGGTCGTTTATTATGATGACGATTAAACAAACGATGTGGTGTTAATTCTGAAATCGATGTTACTGTCATTTCATTTGCAAAGTGGTTGTCGGTGGTAATAATGTCATGATTATGATCAACATTCTGTTCATTTTGGTGTTGATCTTCAACGAAGACACCAATGTCTTCGTCATCATTATCATCATTTATGGATTCAATTTCAACAACGTTATCTGGATCCATTGAATTCTTTTTTTTTTGATTGTTGTTAATGTTGCTGATGCTGTTGGTTAATCTACAATGAGCGCACACACACACACACACAAAAATGATCTCGATACATACAAATCAATTACCACTTGATCGAACCTTAATCAATCAATATCCATGACAATTTTATTTTATTATTTTGTATATATATAGAGAGAGAGAGAGAGATAGATGGATAAATTATTATCAATTGAAAATTAATTTATATTAGATTTATTGATTGATCAATGGAAAAAAAACATAGAATAAAATGCGACCAGAATGGGTTAATTGAAAGAATTTTGGATAATAATAATAATAGAAAGTAGATGACATAATAGGATATATTATAAAGAATAATTTCAATTTTTAATATCGTTTAACATTTGTTATATTACTATTTGGATATCCATGATGATCATCATCGAAACTATAATCAATTTCATGTGTTCGTATTGGACGTAATGAACCTTGTTGTGTAGTGAAATCCGGATGATGATGATGATGATGATGATGTGGATATCGATTACGATCAATTGATTCATTATCCGATTCTGATATACTGCTAATTGATTGTTGTTGTTGAACATTTCTTTTGGATCTTTTTGGCTGCTGTGGTTGATTATTGGCTGTTGTTGGTATAAATCCTTTATTATCATGATGATGATAATCTGGATTCGAAGTATTATCCGAACGTAATGTTTCATCACTTGGATATTGTTGTCGCGCATGTTGTAATGAATATCGGGAACCTTGCAATGAATTTGGTGCTGTCCAATCGGCACGATATGGATCATAATCATCAAAATCTGTGGGTTCTTTTTCATTTACATCGGTTTTAATGCAACGACATGTTAACGATGAACACATGAATAGATTCAATAATAACATGACCAATAACATGATTGCCAAACAAATACATAGTGTAATAAGCCATGGAAAACGCCATTCAGTACATTCTAAATCGGATTGATTTGCGTCCATTAGAGCTGGGATTTAGAAACAAAAAACAGAGAAAAATAATTAAGAATTTAAGTGATGAATTTTTTTTCTGTTTGTTTACCATCAGAATCGGTTGGTTCACGTATGAAAACCGATGTAGATGCAGACACCTGTGAATAAGCATCCAATTCATATTCACGATCATCGTTAGTGGATCCAGTATGTTCACAATCAGGTTCAACACAATTTTCTCTACATAATAATGCATCACATTGAAAATGTACTTTTGAATCTTGTGGAAATTTAAACATTTCTGCAATGTATGCTTCACCAATGGCTGAATCATTATAATAGAATGGTGTAATTAAATTCGTAATGGCTGGACATCCAGATCGATCAATAAGTTCAACATTATCATTTGATTTAGTGAATACAAAACAATTTTTCATACGTAATGTTGTTACACTATCTTTTGGTGAAAGTTCAGCACGAAGTTTATATGGTTGGCCATGTATTAATCGTACAGCTCTTTGTTCGGTATTGGCATCGATTAGTTTTAGATTCACACGATATGTGCCACCACGAATATTTTGATAACCATTTTGACAGGTAAGATAGAAAAAACGATCTTCCGATAATTCCAATGATTTATGCATACGTACAGCTAATCCAACTGATCGTTCACCCTGTTCAATTTGGATCAATTGGGATAAAGAATCTTTTTTTTTTCATTTTTTTGGTTTAAATTTTTCACTAACCTTAAAACGTTGAACACCACAATAAAGTTCATCATCTGTTTGTGCCAATAAACTAATTTTCAATGTTGTATTGAATGAACCATCACCAATAACCATACATGGTGATTTACGATAATCACGTGTATGTGCTACACCATAGAATGGTTGTTGTGATACAATCTGTATGTACATTACGCCACGATCACAACGTGCCGTAACTAATGGACTAAATTCATCCGTTATAATTTGTGGTGGTGGTGCCGGTGGTAGTGGCTGTGCTACTTTCAATAAACGTTGTCCATTCTGTAAATTGATAACAAAACAAAAAAAAAAAAAACAGAAATCAGATGAATCGTTTTATAAGTCAAATTCATTGATCTCTCTCTCTCTCCCACCCCTTTCTCATTTTGAATGAAAAAAAAAAAAATGTATGGTACATTGATAAACAATCAATCAATCAATCAATCGATAGTGTGTGGTTGATTAGCGAAAATTCCAAAACGAAGAGAGAGAGAGAAAAAAAAATTTCAAAACGTTAGCAAAAAGAGATGAATGAGTGTGTAATATCAAGAGAGAGAAAAAAAACAAAAGAACAAAAAAAAATTGAATGGCCTTCAATCAATCTATGGGCGAAGATCAATGTTGTTGTATGCAATGAAATCAAACAACAACAACAATTGATGCTGTCGTTGTGGCTTGTTTGTTGTCATCATCATCATCATCATCTTCGTGTTCCTATTTTCAAATTGACTTTGAAACATTTGAAATTTATATGAATTGAATTGCACACACACACACACACACACACACAAATAAATTGTGGCCACCATAAATGGCTCACGCAAATTTCCAATGTACACAGACACATTAGCACATCAAAATCATCGAGAGAAAAAAAAAGAAAAAGAAAGAAAAAAAAACATCTGCCCATATTTGTTCATTTTATTTCTTTTTTTGTTGCTGCCTAAAAAAAAGTGAGAGAGAGAGAGGGAGAGAGACTCTAATTTTTAATTTAATTTCATTTTTTTTTTCATTCAAATATAATAATGACCAGAATCGTAACCAATTCTACTCTATTCATTAGAAAAATAGGAATTTACAAGCCATTGGTACATTGTTTTCATTTCTTTATTTTTTTTTTTTTGGTACAAATTTTGATGGCAAAACAAACGAAAACCGATTAATTTTCTTGTTGAAACAAAACAAAAAAAAAACAACAACAACAAAACTATCACTGTCTATTGCACAAAAAAACAACAACAACAACAGCAACAAAATTGTGTAATTTGATTCAAGAATAATAAATGAAAAACAAGAAAGGATTTTTTTTTCTTTCTCTATTTAATTTGCTATATGTAGAATATAAAAATAACGACTGTAACGATTGAATAATTAATTGAATTTGTTTTTTTTTTTTGTTATAAATGAATATAAATGAACAACGAAAATGTACATTTTCACTGTTTCGTAATGAAAACAATGACAAATGAATGAACAAAGTTAATTAATTAAATGTGATGATGTGAATGATTTGCAAATATATAAAATACATACCGTTAATGAATAATGATAATGTGAAGAGATAAATATGATGAAAAGAATTTTTATAAATAAATTATTAATATCAATGAAATTCATATTTTTCATGATTATTCTGTTCATTTTTGACGATGATGATGATGATGATGATGATCGGAAATTGTGAAATTTTGAATGTTGAATTGAAATCATAATTTTTCGGGAATGTCACAATTAATTTTGTCACAATAAGATAATAATTATCACATTATAAAAACAATGAAATTTCAAGTTTTTTTTTCGCACTCAATTTTTTTTTTTGACTAGAAAAAATTCAACGAATTTTGATCAACAACCAACAACCCACCAAATCAGGATGAAACATTCATCCACACATAAACCATCAGATGAATTTTCAAAGAATCAATAAAATGCCCGAATAAAATAAAATGAAAATTTTTCCCTTTTGGACTTTTGTCGTCGTCGTCGTTGTCGTTGTTGTTCGATTGCGACAGTCTAAATGACAACAATAATCGACAAAAAACATAGCCGACACAACCACACGCATACACACACACACGTTTTCAATTTGGACATTTACAATGAATGCAATAAGGATACGAAATACTTACTTCAGTTACTTATTATTAATGAAAAGAGAGAGAAAAAAAAAACAAGCACAGGATTGGTTTGATGTGTTTTTTTTTCTTGGAGAGAGTGTGTGTGTGTTTTTTTTGCAGCAACAAACTCTCATGATGATTCCAAGGATTCGGCGTATGATGATGATCATCAGCAGCAGCGGCAGCAGCTTCCATTCATTGAAAATTTTCAAACATCAAAATGAATAAAAATAAAAGAGAGATGTTTGTGTGTGTGTGTGTGTATTTCGCAACAAATCGTAAAATGTAAAATCTTTGACCAAGCAAAATGAAAGATTCGATGTTTGTTGTTGGTTTTTTTTCTTTTTGGTTAATTAAAAAAAGATTTTGAGAAACGAAACGGAATTATTTATTTATTTTTTTTTTGGTGAATCCAAATTCCAAAATAAATTCTTTTCTTCTTTCTTGGAATTTGTTTTCGTTTTTAATCTGAACATTGTGATGGACAGTACTGAACTTCCGGTTCGTTTTTGACAAACATGATGATGATGATGATCTATAGTGAAAAAAAATCAAGGTAAAATTAGAATTTTTGTTTTTTCGGCATAATGAAATATATAATATAAAACTAGAGCTACTGTACTGGATGTATATATATAAATAAAATAATCAACTTTTCTATGGACGCCCACGTCATTTAAAAAATACACATCCACACACGCACTATGGATTGGAATGTCGAATATGCTGGTGATGTTGGATCATTTTTTTTTTTGGAACAAAAATGAAACTAAAAAAGATTTCCAATATTAGTGGGTGGGTGTATCCAATCAAGGTTTTTGTTAAAATGAAATGTAACATTGACATGCGACAGGTGACGTATATATAGGATGATTAATAATGAATGATGACGATGAAAATATAACCAAAAATTCAATTTTTTTTTATCTTCGACGTTTGCTATGTGTGTGTTTAATAGTGATGTCAAAGTTTACTGGAATCACAAAATTCGAAATATTCAATGTCAAAAAAAAAACTGATGATGAAAAATCGAATAGAGTAAAAACGAAACAAGTAGTGCCATCTGATGACATTGGCATGAGATATTCATTTCCATTTTCTAAAACCAAAAAAAAAAAAAAAAAAAATATGAAAAGCAATCTTTTTTCGTTTTGATTGATTGATATAGAAAAAATGATCTCATGGCTAAAATTTTTTTTTTCAATCATCATCACTAATAATTCATCTTCTCTCTCTCTCTCTCTCTCTCTGTGTGTGTGTATGTGTATGATCTGCTGATTGATTGTGATCAATTTTGATGATGATGATTTTATATATGTCAATTATTAATTGTTGTCGTTGTTGTTGTTGTAGTGGTGGTCGATTTCAATTTCAATAATCAAATCATCATTTTATTTATATCAACTATAGCCCAGAGAAAAAAAAATCGACCAGTTAAAATGCCTGAAACGCGCGTAAACAATATCTAGTCAAATTTGAATTTCGATATTTCTATAAATCAAAAAGAGTGAAACAAAAAAAATTTTAATTCAAAAATAATAGATAATTGATCAAATTGAAAAAAGAAAATGTTAATCAAAAAAATTCATTATCGTTTGATGTTTCAATGAATCAATCAACGCGAATATAAATAATAATTGAAAAAAATATTCGGTGGTAAGAATGTTTTCATATAATTTTTTTGTTTTGTTCATTGTTTTAATCCATTAAATTTGATTTTGTTTTTTTTTTTAAAAAGTTTCGACGATATAATGACGATGAATTTTGCTGCTTCATCATCGAAAAACCAATCAAGACTTGTTCAAATTATTAAAACACAAAATGATATTAACGATTGTGTCGCAGATCATAATGTTGGCCATCAACATCATCATTCATCATCATCGTCGTCGTCGTCGTTGTCGTCCTCCTCGGTTAATAATCCCGGTTTAGTAACATTTTTACAAATTGATCCACATCAACAGAACCAACAGAATTTATTACAAACACAGCCATTTGAATCAATGAACAATTCGATAACAACAAGTCTACAACAACAATCAACAGGTCGTTTTCCATATAATGTTCATCAACGACGTTCATTATCATCACAAATGATGTTGTCCGCTATCAATCAACAACAATTACAGCAGCCACAGCAACCGCAACAATTATTGAATCAACAGGAAAATTATTCAACATTAAATTCATCGACCATCCAATTTGGACCAATATCGAATCATCAATCGATCCAATCGATTGTTCAACAACAACAACAACGATTCAATCAAAGACAATTGACAAAAGGTGCAGCTATGATGATGATGATGAATCCACATCATAATCATCACCATCATCAACATTTAATGATGGCAAATCAACAACAGCATGATCCATCGATGACAAGTATTCATCCACCACCTGGTTTTGGTCAAACAACATCGACAACATCCGCTATCAATGTAAATCCAAGGCAACCACAAATATTACCGCCATCTATGCAGCAGATTCCTAAAAATCCGGAAAAATGTTTAAATCGAATGTTATCAACATTAGCGGTACAATTTCATCAACAACAACAACAACAACAGCAGCAGCAACAACAACAACAAATATCGATTACTCAACGGTGTCCACAACCATCATCTGCAAATAATCAACAATCTGTGATATATGATTTTGTCAATCCAAATTTCAATCCATCATCATCATCATCAACAACAACAACAACAACAGGAAATAATAATGGCCAATGTGGTAATCATAATCATTCGATTAATAATTGGCCACCACCTCAATCATTAACACCAACGATTGGTCAAGGTCAAGGACAAGGACAGCCACGAATTAATCAGCCAATGATGACTAGATTATTTTGTCCACATTCATATTATTTTCAACAACAACAACGATTAACAACAATGTTACAGCAACAGCAACAGCAACAAATACAGCCGCCTGCAAATGCAACAACACCGATACAATGTTCAACTTTAGCAAATTATATTGAACGAATTGGTGCTGGTGGTGGTGATGATGAAATGAATATTCATTCATTACAACAATATTCCAATCAGAATAATCTATCATTGAATCCGAATGCAATGGATTTTTTTCCTAACCAACAACAGCAGCAGCAGCAGCAATCTGATTTGGAAAAAGCATCAAATTTTATCAATTCATTGAATCATTTTGAAACAAACAAATGTAATGATGCCACAAATGAACGAGTGGATGATAATTCGCCAATAGAAAAACCACGACGTCAAGTATCATTTATGGATGATTCACAATTTTCTCATTCAAACGATATGGTTTGGAATGATTATGTTTCGAAATTGGTGAATGAAGAAAATGATGATAACGAGGACGATAATCCATCGAACAATCAAATGAATATAAGCAAAGATGTTGAATCATTATTCGATGATGATAATGATAATTTTGGAGACATTAATACAATGAATCAATCAGCTGAAAATTTATTGCTCATCAACAATGATGAAAAAATGAAGAAAAAAAATCGATAAAAATTTGTGAAATTGAACCAGATGAACAGATGAATCAACAGGTAATGATGGTATCGAAAGCAACAAAACCGAAAATAGAATTAGAACCAGATAATAATAATGATTGTGATGATAATGATGATGAAGATGATGAAGAATTTGATTCAAAAATTTTGATTCATAGTCCCAATAACGAACCGTTGCCACAAATACGTGAAAGATGTGTATCATTGAGTACCGGTACAATGATGATGACAAATAGTCCAAAAATATCAAGTAAGTTGTCGAAGAATTTTTTTTCCCCGAAAAAAAACTAACCAAAATTCCAATATGATAGATATGTTAACATGTCAACATTATAATCATCATCATCATCATCCTCACCAACATCACCAACATCAACATCACCAACAACAACAACAACAACAACATAGACGTCGATCATCAATGGTGAGTCAATCGATTTTTAAATATTAAAATATAACAATAATGATATATTTTCATATAGTCATCGAATGAATCAATTTTTTCAATGATATCGATATCATCACCACAATCATCTGGTCGTAATCGTGCCAATACCGTATCGGTAATTGGTGATAATCAATTACTATCATCAAAACGATTTATTAAATTTGATCGTTATAAAACGGAATTATGTATTTATAAATCAGAAATCGGTGAATGTCCATATGGTGATCAATGTTGTTTTGCACATGGAATCGATGAGATACGACCAAGACCATTGCATGATTGTAAAGAACGTACACAACCATGTGAATCATTTTCAAAGGATGTTTGTTATCGTGGTTCAAGTCGTTGCTGGTATCTTCATCCAAAACCGGAATTCAATCTGGATCGTTTACGTAATGATCTTCAACATTGGCTATTTGATCATCAAAAATTTCAACCACATTTATTCATTGAAAATTCTGATGATTGGTTCGATGATGAATGGAATCCAATATTTCATGATCCAATTGAATATCAATCAATAATTGATCAACCATTCACCGATGAAGATGTTGTTGATTTTGGTGATCATGAACTTAATGAATATTTTGATTTTCATCGTAATTATTATTCATTATTCAAGGAAATTCTCAAATCAATTTGTATGATTGAAAAGAAATCGGAAACAAATATAACACAACGGCAACAAGTTATGATGTTTGATGATGATAGATCCATTGATAATAATCCAACATATTATAATTGGTCAAAAGCCAATACAACTGTACCGGATCATATAATACGTCATAGTTTTTATTCAATTCCTTCATCACATTCATCAACAGTGCATCGATTCTGTGATAAAGAACCAGCATCATCAACAACAATAAAAAATCCGAATTTCAATAATGAAAATGATCAATTAATCAATTCGAATGGATCAACACCAATGATTGGTGATGAATTATTGTTGTCTGAAATATCTCGTCTAAATTTAAACTAATATTACTCTATTATATGCATTATCATGGAATTTTTTTTTATAAACAAATCCAATGAAATATTTGCTGGAAAAAGAAAAAAAAATTTTCTTTTCTTTATTAAATAATAATAAAAAAACCATATTATCGATTTTATTAAAAAAACTGATTGATTTGACAATTATTTGCTTATCCAGAAATTTCTGTTTTGGTCACAATGATTGTTGAAAAAAAAATTTAATGAAAACAAAATGAACAAGAAAAATTAAATACAGTAAAAAAAATTAGCACATTGGTTTCCATTGATATGAATATATCTGACGAAGTGATTCGCCGTCGGCTTATCAATGATCACAATTTTCAATGTGGTCCAATAACAATACAAACCAGACGAATTCTTAATAATTAACGAAAAAATCAAACAGATGATTTTTTTTTCGAGCAAGAATCTGATATTTACACAATTTTTTATGCAGAATTCAGATTGCGATTGAGATTGTGATTACGATTGAGATTGCGATTTGGATTGCGATTACGATTGCGATTACGATTTCGAATTCTATTGTTGTTTCGATTTGGAAATTGAAACTTCATGTCCTTTTCTTCAAAATATTCTTCAAGAAATTGCTCATATCGTCGACGTTCAGGAAATGCTGCATCGAACGAAACAGATGAAAATCCGAGCTGATATTGTCGTAAAGAATCCATTTTTCGTTACCAGTTAAAATTTTTCCAATTTGATTATCAGAAGATTTTTTTCTTCTATTTATTTTAATGAATTTTCACTATTAATATATCGGTAGACCGATTTTGATTCATTTCTTTTCATCGATTTGTTCTTTGTTGTTTTGTACTCTTCATCTCAATCGAACAATAAATGTAATCAGAAATGGAAACAAAAAACATGCTCGATTTAAATGATAAATTCTGTTGAAATGGTGATAAAAGCAATGATGAGTCACACTAAACATGTACATTGAATGAATATACCAGGCAAGTTATTACCATTACATTGCTGTCTATTATTTATTGCACAGTTATAATACTAAACTGAAATTAGAGTCATTCAAAAATGTCATGTACAAAAAAAACGACAAAACTTTTATCGATAATCGAATTATATTCATTAATTAATTAATAATTTGTGTTCATTATTTAAAATGCAATAGTTTTTTCAATTTTTTTCCATCTTTTTCATGATAATAATTTTGTTGTTTTTGTTGATGTTGATGATGATGATGATGACGATGATTATGATCATGATGATGATGATGATGATCATGAGGTTTAGGTGGTGATAATGATGATGATGATGATTGTGATCTTAGAAAAGGAATTCTATTACCACTTATTCTATTGATAATAATTTTAAACCATTTCATATGAAAACGATTAGGATGTTGTGGTTGTTGATGAGATTTGGGCAATACTTTTGGAACAACATTTGGATGATGATGATGATGATGGTGGTTGTGTGGAAATTTTTCATCATCCTGATTCGATTGCCATTGAGTCATGAAGAAAATGCAGCCAAAAATGGTTATGAAATAAATGATCAAAAAATACCAGACATAATTTTGATGATAGAATAGTAGACCACTGGCTGTGGTCAATTGTAATGGATCCGGTGGACAATTAATATATTGTTCAATCGATATGGTTATCGATACGGTTGGATCTGGAACATTCAATTGATCCAAACGACCATATGGAAATATTAATACCGTAGATTCAGCAACACACCAAACATGAACCAATGATTCATGTATGAAACCATATGGTATTCTACCTGAACAAAAAGCTTTACTACCTTGTTCATTATCCATACGTAATTCGGTTATCAATTGTGAACTGGACGATGCACGATCATTATTATTAGCTGCTGTAGGAAAATCGGCAATAAAATAATCGATAAAACGTAAATCTCGTTTAGCACGACGTGCATGCAGATTATTTTGTGGTAGAAAATTTAAAAAATCTTCAAATGTAATTTTGTTCATATCGACAAATATCATACATGGTTTATCGGTATCAAATATGGATGAAAAAACATCGGCTTCTTGCCATTCTAATGTTCTGGCAGAAATTTTTTGCAAAATTTCTTCATTCAGATAAAAAATTAAATATCCTTGATCTGGACGATCATCATTGGGTGGATGAAATAAATCATAAGCCGTTGTGATACTATTCATCGATGGCAGATTAGAATTGATTGCATAACGTTTTCTCTGCAATGATGATGGAAATGATGGTTTTCTTCGCATTATGGTTAGGCTTGAAATTTCATTCAATCGGAAACGATATACCAATAATGAATCACTTGGTTTGAACATACATTCCAGTATTGATTTTTGATTGAAATTAATCATCGTTTCTTCAACATGATATTTTGATTGTTGAAACCATACTGTTGGTTCCAACAAACTGGTTAAATATAATCGTCGACAATGATGTACAACATGATTACTAGATGATGATTGATTACATTGGCGAAATTCCATTGTAAATATGTACGCCGTATCATTGATAATCATGTGTAATTGATAATTTTGTCTTTGGTCGTTTTTTTATCCATATAAATGATTAACGTTTTAAGATGACTATATTGTAGACTATTTTTGATTGATTGACAGCTATAAAACTGTGAAATACACAAGGAATGAGCAAAAATTTCAAAAAAAGACAAAAAAAAATTCCCAATTCTCTCACCTTTTTTTCGGTAAAAAAACCAATATTCAAAATGATAATCGGTATGAAAAGAAACAATACGATGAGAATGAAACATTTTTTCAAACACATTTCAAATAAACTTTGCCACTCTCAAGAACAAAAATTTCAATATGAAATTATTCCGTAATCTTTATAAATTCTTTTGATTAATTGGCAGGGGTTTTTTTCGAGAATTTTCGAATTTTTTTTCAATTGCCACTTGGTACCAACAACAACAACAACAACCAATTGAAATTGGTTTAAATGGTTCCATGAGTGGGTGAAAATGTTTTCGAGTTTAAGAAATTTTTTTTTTTTTTTTGATTAAATTTGTTTGTGAAAAAAAAAATTTTCAAAAAAAAAACATCGATTCATGCAGGCAATGTGGTGGAAAATTTCAATTTTCAGCTTTACACTTTTGATAATGATCATCATGTTCATCGGTACTGTGAACAATTTGAAATCCAGAACATATGATAAAAACAACAAAATATTCGACCAACAATTTCATCCAGAATGATGGCCATTCCAAATCTTGATTCCTGTAACGATATGGACAAACATAATAATGATAATAATAATCAATTTCAATTGATATTAGATATGGGCCGTGAATATGGATTCAGTATATTTGGCCATAAAATTGATGAAGAATATTCTTGCCATTATAGTTGTTGGAATGGTTTTTATCAAAATTTTCGGCCAATACCATCAACATCGATTAATCATAAAATTTGTAAACTAATAAGCAAAGAATTATGTGAACATTTACGGAATGTAAAAATTAAATTACAATCAATTCGTTTGATATTTTTATTGAATAAAACTTTTTACTATTTTCTTGTGAATAATAAAAGTAAGTATATGTGTGTGTATGTTTTTGTTCACGTTTTATTTTTCTAATTTTCCAATTCAATGATACAGCATTACATTCGTTTACTATTGATCGATTACCAAAAACATTATCATTTAATGATGATAAAATTATTGACCAAAAATATAATGTTATCGAATGGATAAACGAACATTTGAATGATTATCATATCAAGGTATGTGATGATGATAGATTGATCACGACTTACGTTATCAATTCAAGAATATTCTTGCTTTTTGTTTCAGACAGCAATATTGATACAAAACAACAACAACAACAGCAGCAGCAACAACAACGACAAACATTTGTTTGGTTTACAATGGAAACGGCAAACAGTGAACGTTTATTTGAATATCATTTAAATACAAAGAATTTGAGTGATACAAAACGAAAATTTCTAATGGAAATTAATAAACATGAAATCAATAATGATCCAATCAATCAAATTTATCTATCATCTTATAATAAACTTGATTATGATGATGATAATGATGAAATAATGTTGAAAAATGGCCAATTATTGAAAATGATAAACTTTGATCTATATCTATTTCAACAACAATCATATACACCGATTAAATTCTGTGAATATTGTTCATCATCGTCATCGTCATTACAATTTTTTCCACCATTAACAACATTGGTAATTATTTTTTGTTTAAAAAATCTTAAAATTAATTCAAATCAATCAATCAATCACTTTTTTTTAGCCATTGAAAACATTTTCCGATTGTCCATTACATTTATGCATATGGCCAATGGTTGATTCAATCGTTTATTCATATAGTACACATCAATATCTAATATTTCAAGGTAGATATTTATTCGCATACAATGTTGATAATAATCAACTACAGATGTCAGTGAATCCATTATCATTTGATGTACGAATAATACAAAGTTTTTTCAAACGTAAAAATGTTGAATTATTTCAAATTATTTACATGATTGATAATAAATTGCATCGAATGGAATATAATTTTAAAAGAAAACATGCAACACATCAAAGTGTAATGGATTTGAGATTGGATATCGATGATAAACATTACCGTCTTGTGACTGGTCTTATTGATCGTAATGAAGAGATTTATGTGTTTATTTTCGAAAAATTTAATAATGATAATGATGCCAGTGGTAGTACATTATTGTGGAATATTTATCGACGACAAAATTTAATTGAATCAAAATCAATACAAACAACAATGTTACCATTGACAGCAATGTTTATCAATAAATATATACATCTATTGATTGGTAATCAAATATTCATCATGAATACGGCTAGTTTAATTGAATTGACCATGATGATGGAACAAGATCGATTGAATGAAATGGATTGTATACGTATGGATTTTTTCCATTATTTTGATTGTCATATTCATAAAAAAAATGATGAACAATTAATTAAATCAGCAAAACAACAACGTATACAGATGCATAAATGGTTTCAATATTTTATCCATAATGAAATATCAACAATAATTGATAAGAATTTTATACAAAATTGTCGATTATTCATCGATAATGGTGGTAATA